CTCCTTTTTCCTATCCTCGGGTAGTTACGGGCTGTTAACTAGAGGGTTGTAAGGTAGTGCTAAATCCTCTAGTCACTACACTCCCTTATAGCGAAAGTGGGTATTCGACGTTAACGGCTTGCACGATTTAACGCCTCTCTGCTTATTTGTGACAGCTTGTTGATAAATGACAGGGCGGTGTTGTCGTTTGTCCTTCTCATTGCCCAGGACACTCTACCGATGTGCCTTAAGTAGTGTTGCATGTTAAACAACGCATGCAAGCTAGCATTCACTTGGCGCTTTTGACGTAGTTGGTATAGGCAAGGCACAAGCACACCACCACACACACGACTGGGATGGGAAGAGATGACGGAAAAGCATAAATCGGGCTTTTTTGCATTACTAGGTTTGCGACGGATGCTCACAATGCCAGAACGAGAACGTCCGCCAAACTGGTGCGCACAAATTTAAATTGGTAAAACAGACGATCTATTTTGATGTCGAAAACCCCGACTTGAGGCTTTGTCTAATAATTTTTTTTCTTAGAGACTACATATTCAATGACTCGTAATTTCAAAAAATCAATACGACAGGTCTATAACTGGTTCGCAAGTGGAAGTGGACCTGGCAAGGCAGAATCAACTGCTTTGCTGCGAAATTGAAAATCAAATTAGTTAGCATCTTGCCGGTTTTTTTGAATCAAACTGCTCTAAATTGTTGTCATATACATTGACATGATCGCGACTTTAAGATGAAATCGCAATAACACGAATGCACCTTGGAAAACTTGCGCAAAAAATTTAAGCTTTTATGCTTCATTGCAGACAACATTATTTTAGGATTGGTGCATTAAGATATACTTTTCAATAATTAGATATTGAATTTTATTTTTTTGGAAGGACTTGTTCCTAAGATTAGTCGATTTCGGGTAGCATTCAAGTGTAGCATGCAGTGCAGTCATCAAAATGGCCTTTTATGAGCTAATTATTTAAATTAATCTGATCTTGTTTGTGACAGAAATATCTGCGCTTTCCATTTTTTTTGCCAGGTAAATTGACTGCTGTAATAACAAACAGATTAAATGGTTAAATGATACGCTAATACTATGTTCCCGTTTGAAATTTTTGCTGAAAAGGAACTGCCAGAATATGTGATGTCATGCGAAGCCCTCTCCGTAGGATCCAGAATATTCTACTGCATTTTTTTCTGCGCTATAAACCCAATTATTACTGATAATATGCATGCATCCAACTAAGATTGTTCAAGGGTATTGTTAAATTTAAATATGTGCTGCAACCTTCGAGTTGGACATTTATCTCTTGCATTTTTTGAAACATTGCGAACAGACTTAATGAGCACTAAATATAGGATGACTCCTAACGTGAAAAGGTCAATGTGACAGTCCTAGAACCGGTGAGCAGCTAGAAGTGGTCCGGCGCGAAATTGAAGCACAAATTAGATTGCATCTTGCTAGTTTTTTTTCAATCGACATGCTTCACATTGTTGTTATTTGCATAGACATAATCGCAACTTTTAGAAGGTCGTAATACTAAACATGCACATAGAATAACTTGCAAAAAAACGTATAGCATTTTGCCACATTGCAGAGAACATTGGTTCTCAATGAGTATACTAAGATATGGTTTTCAATAGTTAGATGTAGACATGAAGTGGTTTTTTTTTCATTTTCTAGGAAAGTGTTTTTCAATTCGTTCAAAAATATGCTGACTAATTGATTTAAGGTTGCATTCACGTGTAACATGAAATGCAATGAACAAAATTGCCTTTCCCCCACCTAATTATTTGGATTAATCTGACCTTGTTTGTGACAGAAATATTTACGCTTTCTATTTTTCGCCGATTGAATTAAGGTAAATTAACTGTAGTAAAACTAAGCAGATTAAATGTGTACGGGATGCGGCAATACTAGGTTTCCTTCTGAAATTTAGGGTGAATAGGAACTGCTGAAATACGTGATGTCATGCGAGGCATTCTCCGTGGAATCCAAAAAATTCTATTTCATATTTATCACTTTGGCTTTAAGAACAATTATTACCGGCAATACATATACATCCAACTGACGATGGTAAAAGGGTATTATTATTTGTTTGCTAATAATTTCCATGCAGTTTCTTTTGAATTGCATGGACAAATTTATTACAATGTTGGTCTTTGAACTTTCTTCAGTCTTACCATTGTGACTACAAATGTTAGCTTCATTGAGTTTTAGATATTTTAAGTGCAAAGTGACTATATTTCTACCTCGTTCTTAAACACAAATGAGCTAGTGCCATTCTTGAAAATTGTTAACCTCATTGTTTTCACATTTAGTTCTTAAAGTAAATTTGGCACCTATGTCTCAGCATTTATGAAAATAAATTAAATGTACAACTTTAGGCTGCCTATGTCACCGTTTCCTCCTGTTGCGTTTTAACTTTGTTTGTACTGATTCGATTTCAAATCGTCTTGTTTTAATTTGCGCGCGAATGTTGACTACTTTATTTTTGATCTTAGTGTATGGTTACACTGGAAGTGTATTGTTTTTTTTAATTTTACTAAGTATATAGAGCTACTTTATTCAAGTTTAAAGCTTTTTCTTTTCCAGTTTGCAACCCACTCCTAGGTTGTCGCATGCAATTGCTCTCTACCCAATCATGCCGTATAAGTTTAAATCCATTAATTCATACCATAAAACGGCTTTTTCTTCTCCTGTAAAGGGGGACCTAGACACTGCACGTAACCGTCAGCTTCTCTTAGTGTTTTTTACCTTAGTCATTCATTTATATTAGTTCATTACCGACTGATTGCTGACGGCGTTTTAACCCTAAATTAAGCTTTTATCTTCCAGTCTGTATATGTAGTCGTCCTCTTATCGGACAGTATTTTTGGTAAAAACAGTCGTGCTCTATTGGTTGTGTGCCTCTTATAACTGAACGGTTGTCATTATTCATTATTTCATATCAATAGCCTGGTTTCATATTATATGATTGGCTGTACTTGTTCGTGTGTTCAAACGCTGGCAATATTCAATGGTAGTATTTCGACTGGTGCTTCGAATTTGATCTAGTGTCGAATGTTTTCTCATATACTTTACCTTTTTATTCAAAACCAATCGCTTAGCTGCGTAATTGTCTTTTCTTATTCAGTTTGGGGGCTGGTTGATATGGGAGCGTTTTTGGACAAGCCAGACACGAGAAAGTCGTCAGACTCCGGCAAAGGGAACGGTATTTCCTATGGGGTCTCAAGCATGCAAGGATGGAGAGTAGAAATGGAAGATGCACATGCAGCGAAAACAGGTCTTCCGGGCGAGCTGAAGTCGTGGTCGTATTTTGGCGTATTCGACGGCCACGCGGGCTCTCGTGTTTCGGGACTGTGTTCCACACATCTGCTCGAATACATTCTTAGCACTCCCATCTTTAAGGAGCTAATCGCATCAACTGAGAAACATGGCTCCACTGACGAAATAAAGGACGGCATTGTCGCGGGTTTCATGGCTTTTGATGAATTCATCTTCAAGGATAGTCCTCAGGAAAAATCCGGTTCGACTGCGGTTGTTGCTTTTGTCAGTCCTACGCATTACTTTATCGCGAATTGCGGTGACTCAAGAGGTGTCCTCGTTAAAGATTCAAAGCCTGCCTTTTGCACTGAGGATCACAAGCCTAGCAATGTGAAGGAGCATAGGCGGATTACTAATGCTGGGGGACATGTAATTCTCTCTCGAGTAAACGGATCCCTTGCTGTTTCTCGGTATGTCTTGTTCGCTTTTGATGATCCATTTAGCACTCTTGTATTTGTTCAGTATCCCTCATTCATTGTTTGCACTATTCACGATTACTGGTATTTTTTGCTAGTACAGGTTCGTGAGTCTAATTCTTACAAAAAAATTTGTGTGCATCAAACCGCATCTCAGATTTTTTGAATTTGCAATCTTGGCTTTCCGATATAACGTGGACGTCATAGGGTGACATTAGACGACGGTATTTCATCAAACTCGTTGTAATCACACATGTGTAATGAAACTCCATCTTGTCCCGTAGTTCACAGAGCTTGCCTTGTTCTCCCTTTCTTCTTATTCTCACATTTCTGACCACCATTTCTTTACTGCGATTGTCTCCTCTGCATTTGCCTCCAACACACACGTGTGCACGCCACCACATTTTGTGTTCTTGAAATCAGTCAGACGCGATCGTGCGCTCCTGCCACTTACAAGTAATCAATAAAACGTCACTGCAACGGCCTCCCACACTTGACTTACCCAGGTGATGGCTCCGTGAACATTGAAGCGGGAATAGCAGCACGCCCTTTTGACAAACAGAATGCGCGTTTTCGTCAGAATCCCTTCTGTTCTCTTAGAAACTATTTATAACCGCTAAATTCCGCTCTATACGGTAGGGCAGTTTAATAGGCAAGAAAATCTGTGTGGCGTACTGTACGCGTGGTTTGTGCACTCGAAATTTGCATATCACCATTCATCTGGCAGCCGACGTGACAGTCTAATTACGTTTACAGCTAGCCCTAGATGTAATTGCTCTAACTCGGGAAATTTACTTGGATTTTTTTGCCGTGTCCCACCAAACCCCTAAACGATTTTGCCTCTCGTTTTCTTCGCCGCGCTATTCGGTGTGGTTCTTAAAATACCCTTTTTCATTGTAACGACAAACTCTTGAGGGATGTACTTTTACGGCAGGCGGGGCCTCTTTCCATGCACACGTTGTTCATTATCAATCAGGACTGAAATGTGTATTTAAATTGGCCTATATCTTCCACAACCTGTAAGTGAAGCTGGTTGATTCGTGTGGAGAGTCTGTCATTCTCCCTATCATCTGATTGGGTAAAATTAAAAGTTTTATGTAAATCAATCCCCAGGAACTCTCGCGATATCACAGCATGACTACCTATTCAATGAAGCTGGAGAATTTTGACTCAATGATGATCTATGTTCGAGTGGAATTGGTGAAATGTGTTTGTACTTCGTACATTTGCGTTCCGCGTGTGATGAAAAAAAAGTATTCACGAGGCAGTGGCCCATTTGTGCAACGCATTTGCACCGGAAATGTTACGGTGGTCCAAGTCAGGTGGTTTGTTTGCGTCGAGGCGCTGATCGTACGAGGTCGTGTGTACTGGTAAGTCCCAGTCATATCCAGGAGGATTATGACTGGTTTTTTTTTTGCCAACCGGTCGATTTTTTTGACAGGGTGGTGAGATTTGGCCCTGAGCTCTCAACAGACTATTCACGTGGGTGCCGCTGCCCGGGTACTTGTCAGTCTGTCGCAGAGGGAAAACCCGCCTTGTTGTTTGTGTGCGACACATTCATGCATTCCTCTTTCACGGCGCCACCGTGTGTGTGTGCACTTTTAGATAATTTCTGCAGATGTTCCCTTTTCCTTTATGGTTTTTTTATTGTGTAACTTTATGAGACTGTTAGTGCACACTCGTGTCTCGTTTAATTTCTTCGCTAGAGTACGTTAACTTAAACAGGCTTCTGGCGAAATTTCACTTGCCAGCGTAAATTGAGGGCAGCAAATGGCCTCGAATTTGTTTGTTACTATCCCCCAGAGCGTGTCAACGTTAATTTCTGACTTGCTATCAGTCGTGGTAATGTCCTTATTTCATTCGTTTTTGGTCAAAGTCAAGTTTCCTCCTTTATTGTGTCTCCTGTGCGTTGAGTGCGTTTCTTGTGAAGTTTAAGCTCTCGTTGCATTTTCCACCGTTTGCTACCCCTGGGACATCTGAGTAGTGTTACCCTGAGCCAGATCTCAATCTTCCTTCCATGAATTCGTTCGCATCCCATGTTTTAACCTATGTTGTGTTCAAACTACCACTGCTTACAGTGCAAGAACTTGTCCCTGTGGACAAAACGTGTTGGAGAAATTCGACGTTGATTAACCAAAGTCGGATTTTGTGACTCCAAGGTGGGGTATCTGGCGGGCCCCCTTTCCTGTGAACGAAGCGGCAGATGCAAACAGGGTCCTGCCTCCAAAATCCCTTCTTAATTCTGTTCGGACTTGCCGTTACACCATAAACTTATTGTTATTGAAAATCGGCATCCGAGGTGACAGTAGGGGCCATCTGACGGCGATCGACCAGAATGAGATGGCAGCACTCTAATGATTGGCTGTTTTTTTTGCCTTATCCACTCTCCTATCGATCCACTGCACCAACCAGGATATCGCATTTCTCCCCAATGAATCCCTTTTTGTAGAGTCGCCATTAATCCTACTGGCATTTCATCAACGATGTTTGATTTTTCTTTCTTTTTGCCGTTTACTCCAATTTAGGAGCGGTCTTTGCATAAGCCCCAGCTAAGAGTGAGCATGAGTCGACAGATTAGCGTGCTAGTTAAAATCATGTGAGTCTGGCGTCTTGCAGTGTCAGGAAGTAGCGTTATCGCCTCCTAGTTGCATTTCATTTTTTTAGGAAAAAAAAGTTGTAATTGCTTGGGTAAAAGTGCGAGGTAATTGGACCCAATTTTGTGTGTTGGCTTTGATCGCGTAGCAGTGCTACCAAAGTCACCATGGCAGCGGTGACTCACCGTGCTCTAACCCAAGCTCCTTAAATTTGCTTTTCCTCTCCCAATTCCAAACTGCGGACTTAATCTGCCTTAAATTGGACCTTGTCGTGGTAATAATCCGACTCCAGCTATTGAATCTCTTTCATCAAATTGTTCCATGTTTGGTGACCTCATTCTGGACACCTGAAGTCATTTCACCGAAGTTTTATGTGGTTAATTTGCAATAAGTTCCGCCCGAAAAGAGTGATTTCGACCAAACCCGGTCTCGTGCCATTCCCGTTTTCCATCTAATTATTTTATTCTCACAAACGCCGCCTTTGCTGTCAAGGGCATGCGTACTTTCGTGTGCGGACATCTTTATCTAAAAATCTATATCGTTGCGCTGTGATGTTAACCTAATACCTGGTTCATCGTTTTTCGGTACCACGTTAAGTGTTGCAGTACCTGCACGAAGCGTTAGGAGTAGTATGGGTGTCTCACTGCATTGGTTAGCACAAAACACCCTGTGTCAGAGGGAACACGAAGGTAGTGCTT